ATTCCGACATGATTGGTCTGATTATTAGTATTACAGTCTTCCGCTGTGCTATATTGCTCTATCTGAGAGAGGTCGGTTCTTGGTTCTGGTCTGCAGCTTTTCGGTATGCGACACATAATCTCCGTTCTCGTTACTTTTATCAGGGTGTGGCATTGTGGGCTAGTTACAGCAGGGAAAAGTCCCTTGCTGGTTGCTTGCTGACAGTTTTGCAGTCAGCTCCGCAACCCTTGTCCCCACGACAGATATCAACTCTCTCCAGACCTTAGCATGTGGTTGCCTGACTGATTCAAAAGCATGCCAGATCCCGATTTATGTGTTTTATCGTTGCGCAGGGGCCATGCTAATCTTCTCTGTGTCGTTCCACTTTTAACGGATGTCGTGAAGGACAAAGAAAAGTCTGCCTTTTCTTAGCAACTTCCCTGCATGACTCAGGGAGTGTACTTTTCATTGCGACAGTGATTAGTCCTCACCCTACATGTGTATGGTAAATGTAACAGTGGGAAGCTGGGGAATATGGCAACACACTCCCACTCGGTGCATCCTTGTACCACTGTTATTCTGCGGTTCTTTCGCCTTGTGAGTGAGCTGCATCTTCTTTAGGGAACAGATAATCCTTTGTCATTGCCAATTGTGAAGTTGTTCTCTTAAAAAAAAGGGCCATCCAAGGATTATCATCTTTCAAAGGAATGTACGGCCCTCACGACAACCACTTATGAGTGATGATACAATAGAGTGGGCTAAGATCTCCCTGCTAGTCATTCCTCCTTTCCGAGCCTGTGAGGGTCTTACTCTCGGAGCGACTGGACTCCTCATCTGCTAGGTTCGACCTACTTGACTTGAAAGTTCTACGGCCCCTTGCAGGCTCGGATCCTTTGCTGGTTCAGTACTCGAAAAGCTGGCAAATTCGAGCATCAGGAAAAGGAGGGTTGCGCATACTCTGTCTCTCCCTTTTTAGCCGCTATTAATGCCTCATCGCTGTCATTCTTCTTATTTGTTTTCCTCTCCTCTAGATTGTCCTCAGCACAAATGTAGTTCATGCCTCATCGCTGTCATTCTTCTTATTTGTTTTCCTCTCCTCTAGATTGTCCTCAGCACAAATGTAGTTCTTCC